ATAATATAATATATATTAATATATAAATTATATTAATAAATATATTATTATTATTATATATATATATAATATTAATATATATAATATACATATGGTATGATTATATATTGTATTGTCTGTATATATGGTATCATATACATTATATGGTGGTATATATTTTAAACATACATTTATACATTATGTATATAACGTATAAATATGTGGTAACACTATATTCATACATAATAACTCTCATAAATCCTGAGGTGCATTTCCAATTGAAAAGAAGATAGAATATCGCCAATCCACCACACTTGAAATAATGTTAAAATATTACTTCAAAATTTCCTCTGTCTCGATATCCAGGGATTTTCCCCGAACTTCTTTCACCGCCGTTGCCTAGATTTGCATCTTCCGCAAGAACGGTCATTCTAACCCAACTGATACAAACGACCTTTCCATCCTAAAAGGAATTTAAACTTATTCACTTCTAGGAGCCTTTTAACACCTTTTGCTTTCCAATACTTCACACCTCATTTCTCACAAACACTCCCACGTTTGGACTTGCCGACCCGTTAAATAATATAATAATCATTATATTATACTACCTTATATATATATCATATAATATATTCAATACTTCTATATACTATAGGGTAGAAAAAAACAGTTTCAACATCCCAAATTGGAATCCACTCCCCTGGGAGGTGTTTACAATTCCCAGTGAAAAGAAATGGGAATAATGCCAATAACCTCAGTTCAATTCGTAATATGAAATATAACCTCCCCCTGATGGGGATTCGCACCCTTCACCGGCCACTCTGCTCCAGAATAATTTTGCATTCAGACTAAAAAAAGGAGTGTGCAAACTAGGAAAGCCTAACCAGTATAAGTAGAAATAGATAATTGTATTATGGAAGCCTTAGGTAGCTCCCTAGGTTCTTCACACTCCTTTTAGTGGGGTCCCGGTGTAATCAGTCAGTTTTTAAAGAGTGGAAACGTCCTTGCCAAGTTCCCTTGCAAAATGGCGGTGAAGGGTTTGGAATCCCAACTCGGAGAGGTAATATATTCATCATATCAATCTTAACCTTATATATTTCATGAAAGAAACATTATCTTCCTTTTTTCACAATGTTTTATCAATGTTTATTTTATATTCCACACCATCGTGTCGCCAACAAAGACAATGTTATTTGTTTCAAGACAATAACAAAGTGCATAGGCATTGAAGCACATAAGCAGTGCAGTAATCATGTATGCTTTTGTTTTGTTTCTTTGTATCCTTCAGGTATTGCAATAACGAAGGACCTGATACGCGAAAGGGACTGAGGAAAGTGCGTCTTTAAATATAAGAAAGTCAGCCAAAGTGAGTGATAAGACAAATATCCTGTGTGTCGTCCAAAGGTGTGAAGGGTGGGAGTCACGGGTGTTGTCATTTTACTTCTTTGGAGGAGGATAGGGGAGTAAGAAAAAACAAAGAATGGATATAAAAGAGAGGGAATGGTCAGAAAACACTGAATGGAGAGGAAGAGATCGATCTAAATCAAAGAATATCGAGGCTGGAAGAATATCTCGTTCTCATATTAAGTTAATACAACTTTAGGGTATCAAACGGACAATCATTATAAAACCTTGAGAAGATTCCGTTTCTACCCACAGCCTCTGGCGGAGGAGGAAGTAGTGGGTCACAACACGGGCCCTGGATGCGATTTCAAGGTATGAAGACCCCTTCGTTATTTAACCTCTTTTAGAAAGTAGATCATGCTAAATGTTATAGAACGTATTGCGGAATTCATGTAGATTGATAGGCCAGCGGGTTACCCTTCACCCTTTGTATACAATCACTGACCTACCTTTATAACTGACATCTGAGTTTAATATTCAATGTTTAAAAAGGTCATATATGGAGCCAATTTCCTATTTTTCTTGTCTTTCATTACCATTGGCATCAAGGAGTAAAAGTCCTCTTTATGCGTGAAAAATTCCCAGTGTGTGGGAAGGCTCCGAGCAGTGCTGGGGCTCCGAGGATTGTGGGCGGGCAAGCGTCGCAGCCCGAGAATACCCTTGGATGGTACGTCTTGACTAGATCATAGTTTTGGTCCTCATCTCATCCTCTTGGTGGTGGTATCCATATTCACGAATCACTCCACATTATAAAACAGCCCAACTGTTTTTCATTTCTATGATAAAGTAAGTTTTTAGTGCCACATTCAACGGCTTTTTTCTACACTATGGGTAAGAATCATTAGACACTCTCTGAATGTGTGTATGGGGAGGTATGTCAGTGGATGGTGCAATAAGGTTTTGCACCGCACAAGAGCAGTGGATGAAAGGGGTCTTATCTGGGAGGGTTTATTAGGGAAGGTGTATGTAAAACCCCGCGAGAGATCCGTGCCCTGAGTGCCGAGGACGGGAGCAAGTAACGTGCAAAGACTGTCTGTCCATGCTCTCTTCTGCATCTCTTGTTCTCCCCTGCTGTCTGATGAGACATTCCTTTATGCAGCTATTCCTTGCGAAAGGAATAGCTGCTTAGGAGAAAGTGGTCAAAAAAGAGAAAAGTAGAGTGACCACCTGTTTTTGTCCGTCCTGAAGGGGGGAAAATCACAGCTGCCCGGGGCCCCTCTGGGGGTTGCAATAACAGGCGCAGAACTATTCCGGTCCTGAGCATATTGGTGGGTTGGACAGTAGGTGGTATCAATATAAACAGGTTTGCGGTAATTCTTGTCCCGACCTTTTCTGGACAAAACATAAGGACACTTATTCACTCTATTTCGCCTTTTAAATTTTAATCAATCTTTTATGCACTCTTCGTTTTGCGGAAAATATTCAGGCTTAATTTATTAAGGTTTTCTTTTGATGTCTCAGAAAAACCTAATTTTGCCGTTAAGTTTTATTGCCTCTTAAATCATGTCGGGTACCATAAAAAACCATATAAGTTATAGCGGGTTCTTAAAATACGAGGCCTTTTTTTACTTGTTGCAATTATGCCCACATCTAGCAAAGTCCAGCCAACTTCTGTTGCACTTCACTTCCTTCCTGGTGCTATCCGCGCGTGGTCCAAGGTTAATGGACAAAGCCCAAAGACAAAGTTTGGTTTTGGCTATTAAGTGGACGGCTCAGGGGAAACATGCTTCGTCGAGACTATGCGTAAAAAGCCCACAGGATGATGTGTGCAAAAGAAGGGCCAAGTTTTCCTTTTCCCGCCCCAACTATGGCATCCAGCATGTTTACTGAATGTTAGCAAATAACTAAAAGTATTGGCTTACCAGCTTGAGAGGGGTTTCCAGGTGGGTGAACCCAAGAAAACTTTTTGAAAATAGAAAAAAGGGGGGACACGATTATATATAACCAAGGTGGTTATCTTTCATTGGTGTCACAAAATATTCGTTTCTTGTAAAACAAGTCCCCCTGGCTGTCCCTCAGTAACTCTTTCTGGTTACATTATGTCCAAGGGTTACATATACTTTTGCCCCGGTGTCTCCTCCATGTCGTATCTCCTCTACTCTATTTTTATCTCCTGATCAAATCTGGTCTAAATCTGTCCTACGAAAGAATGGACTTATATCTATAAATGAAAATCCAAATTTTTCCCCCTTCTATCCGAAGCACACTTCCTGGAGGTATTTCTAGTCCCCGGTAGCGGGGGAGAAACACAACAATTAAGAAACTGAAGACGAAGTAAACACGGAAGCATTAGTTGCCCAAGGAAGAGACTCAAACTCCCTAACACCCGTCCACAAGTTTCGATGCCACGTCCACCGCGGTAAAAGTCCTTCATGTGGTCTTGCAGGGGTGTGCGCGCCAAGGGTTTTTCTTTGGCTGTTTTGGGGATTGGGGATTAGAGTAAGCTTTGTTTGGGGATGGGATAGAAATTGGCTCCGTTGGGGATGGGATAAGAGTGGAATAAGGAAATATTAGCTCCCCGAGTCATCGCCGTCAAGCTGAGCCCTCGCCCGGTGTCACTATGGGCGGCCAAGCCCGGGCTCTTTGTGGCCCAACAAAGTATCTTCGACTTCCCGTCAGACGTGTTTGTCCAGGCCGGCGAGTGCTCTGCACCGCGACAGAGTTTTAAGTCTCTTTTTATCTTTCTTTCTTCCCGAAGGTGGCTCCCTCACGCCTCACATCCAGTCCACTCTCACGGCATTCCCGAGCCGACACTAACTCCGCCCAAAACTATTATCGCCCGCAAGTCTCGGGCGCGCTGAGTGGTCGCACGAGCAAGAGACCACTCATACTGGAAATCGTCCCCCCACCTATGCCACGGCCGCTTGAGAGCGCCTCCCCGACACACTATGTAACCCATATATCCCCACCTCCCACAACCGCCATTCCTAAATCCTCACTTCGTTACCTAGCCAAGCCCCTCCAGGCTGAGAGGCTTGACAGATAGAGAGATGTCGGCGCTGTGCGGATGTCAGGCCGATAGGGTGACGTGTCGGTGTGCGGACTGGGCTCGGACAAGCGGCTGCACTGTGGGATGGCATATATGTTTCTGGTGTGGATAGGGGATTGGCTGTGGGGATGGGTATGTCGGTGAGGACCGGGAGAGGGTGAGTGTGGAGATAATGACACAAGATACAAGAAAGCCAACCTATCTAAATCTAATCTAAATCTAACGTGCCGATGAAAGCAAACCTCAGTAGCATCACAGAAATGAATTATCGTCACAGGCCAACGACATCGCCGTAATCACACTGCAGTCGCCTCTCGAGTGGACCGACAATGTGGGACCCATTTGCCTGCCACCTGTCAAGACCTTCGGAGGGAGTGAGGCAGTCATAACAGGATGGGGCTTGCTGGACTCCCCGTGAGGATAGTATTTGTGTGAAGATATGTGCTTGATTTTAATTTTCTTATTGTTTATTGTGTTATCACATATTTGTATCTATCGAATATATATATATATATTATATATATATATATATATATATATATATATATATATATATATATATATATATATATATATATATATATATATATTTATTTATTTATTTATTTATTTATATACTTCTATTTTAAGAGGAATCGACATTTCCGGACGAACTACAGGAAGCGGGAGTCACTGTGTTCGATCAAGGGGAGTGTAAAAGCGCTCACGCTCTCTCCAACTTCCCCGTTACTAATAAACAAGTAAGTGCCTAACGTAATTAAGCAGAAGGAAATTCCAATGAGAACAGTAACACCGAGCACGCCACTTTATAAATCTTGGAGAAACCTGAGATGATATTTTTCCCTTCCACAAGATTTGCGCTGCCGACCCTGGACAGATCGCTTGCAGCGGCGATTCTGGGGGTCCGCTGGTAACGAAAGAAAACGGAATTTGGCTGTTGGTGAGTTCCTGCGTGCTGCGCGATTTCATTTCTCTGTTTGATTCTGTTCGTTGAACCGAAAACGCAGGGGATTATGGTTCCTTTGGCGTAGTAACACTAAAAAAATATGTAAATTGTAATACCAATAATGTATGGTTATATAAGAATTACTGTTGATTACAGACTTTCATCATCATATAAATAAATTTCATTCTGCAGCTCGGAGTAACGAGTTTTGGTCCAGGAGACTGCACGACAGATGTTCCTGGCGTGTACACCCGTGTCTCTGCCTACAGCAAATGGATACTAAATAAGGTTTCATCAGGATCTTGTTAATGATTCAGAAATCCTGGCGATGTATCGTGACGTTTTGAAGACGAAAATCACAACTTTGATGCGACGTTAACCGATTATCATTGCTCAGATGAAAATGTATGATAATGCAAGATAAACTGGAAGATAATTGATAATAATTGGTAGGTGATAAATGATTGGCAAGGGTAGAAAGGAAGCAGAAAACTATCTATTTGAATACGCTGGTGTTTGCATTCCATCTGAATGTACAAGTTTGTCATTGTAAAATTCAATCCACTGGTTTCTAAGTGCTAGCAAAAGAGTCTTGATCTTGGGTTGCAAGGACTTGACAAACACATCGCAAGTCAATTTGAAGGAGAATAAGAAGAGGAATATTGATCATCGTTATTTGCCGAGGTCATAAACCCTTGTCATCACTGTGTCAAGTTTTAGATAATGACCG